CCAGTAGAGCAAAGGTAGTCTTGAAAAACCTATAGAGTCTTATACGGAACGCTGAGGTTATAAAGGAGCTATGGGTGGGTATAATTTGGGAATCGCTGTCTATGCGAGCAATTTCATAGCCATATATTCGGACAGTGACGCTCAGGCATGCTTTCTGGATCGGCCTGTTTTTTTTTGCTGTCCAGTAGAGCAAAGGTAGTCTTGAAAAACCTATAGAGTCTTATCCGGAACGCTGAAGATATAAAGGAGCTATGGGTGGGTATAATTTGGGAATCGCTGTCTATGCGAACCATTTTAAAGCCTTATATTCGGACAGTGACGCTCAGGCATGAATTCCTGGACTGGCCTGGATTTTTTGCTCTCCAGTAGATGAAGATATTCTTGGAAAACTCTAAAGTCTTATCCGGAACGCTGAGGTTATAAAGGAGCTATGAGTGGGTATAATTTGGGAATCGCTGACTATGCGAGCCATTTCAAAGCCTTTATTCGAACAGATGCTCACACGTGACTTCTTGAACTGGACTGGATTTTTTGCTCTCAAATAGAGCAAAGGTAGGCTTGAAAAACCTATAGAGTCTTATCCGAAACGCTAAAGTGATAAAGGAGCTATGGGTGGGTATAATTTGGGAATCGCTGTCTATGCGAGCCATTTCAAAGCCTTTATTCGAACAGATGCTCACACATGACTTCCTGAATCGGCCTGTATTTTTTGCTGTCCAGTAGAGCAAAGGTAGTCTTGAAAAACCTATAGAGTCTTATCCGGAACGCTGAAGATATAAAGGACCTATGGGTGGGTATAATTTGAGAATCGTTGTCTTGCGATCTATTTCAAAGGCATGGTACTCAGACATGACTTCCTGAATCGGCCTGTATTTTTTGCTGTCCAGTAGAGCAAAGGTAGTCTTGAAAAACCTATAGAGTCTTATCCGGAACGCTGAGGTTATAAAGGAGCTATGGGTGGGTATAATTTGGGAATCGCTGTCTATGCGAGCCATTTCATAGCCATATATTCGGACAGTGACGCTCAGGCATGCTTTCTGGATCGGCCTGTTTTTTTTTTGCCGTCCAGTAGAGCAAAGGTAGTCTTGAAAAACCTATAGAGTCTTATCCGGAACGCTGAAGATATAAAGGAGCTATGGGTGGGTATAATTTGGGAGTCGCTGTCTATGCGAACCATTTTAAAGCCTTATATTCGGACAGTGACGCTCAGGCATGAATTCCTGGACTGGCCTGGATTTTTTGCTCTCCAGTAGATGAAGATATTCTTGGAAAACTCTAAAGTCTTATCCGGAACGCTGAGGTTATAAAGGAGCTATGAGTGGGTATAATTTGGGAATCGCTGACTATGCGAGCCATTTCAAAGCCTTTATTCGAACAGATGCTCACACGTGACTTCTTGAACTGGACTGGATTTTTTGCTCTCAAATAGAGCAAAGGTAGGCTTGAAAAACCTATAGAGTCTTATCCGGAACGCTGAGGTTATAAAGGAGCTATGGGTGGGTATAATTTGGGAATCGCTGTCTATGCGAGCCATTTCATAGCCATATATTCGGACAGTGACGCTCAGGCATGCTTTCTGGATCGGCCTGTTTTTTTTTGCTGTCCAGTAGAGCAAAGGTAGTCTTGAAAAACCTATAGAGTCTTATACGGAACGCTGAGGTTATAAAGGAGCTATGGGTGGGTATAATTTGGGAATCGCTGTCTATGCGAGCAATTTCATAGCCATATATTCGGACAGTGACGCTCAGGCATGCTTTCTGGATCGGCCTGTTTTTTTTTGCTGTCCAGTAGAGCAAAGGTAGTCTTGAAAAACCTATAGAGTCTTATCCGGAACGCTGAAGATATAAAGGAGCTATGGGTGGGTATAATTTGGGAATCGCTGTCTATGCGAACCATTTTAAAGCCTTATATTCGGACAGTGACGCTCAGGCATGAATTCCTGGACTGGCCTGGATTTTTTGCTCTCCAGTAGATGAAGATATTCTTGGAAAACTCTAAAGTCTTATCCGGAACGCTGAGGTTATAAAGGAGCTATGAGTGGGTATAATTTGGGAATCGCTGACTATGCGAGCCATTTCAAAGCCTTTATTCGAACAGATGCTCACACGTGACTTCTTGAACTGGACTGGATTTTTTGCTCTCAAATAGAGCAAAGGTAGGCTTGAAAAACCTATAGAGTCTTATCCGAAACGCTAAAGTGATAAAGGAGCTATGGGTGGGTATAATTTGGGAATCGCTGTCTATGCGAGCCATTTCAAAGCCTTTATTCGAACAGATGCTCACACATGACTTCCTGAATCGGCCTGTATTTTTTGCTGTCCAGTAGAGCAAAGGTAGTCTTGAAAAACCTATAGAGTCTTATCCGGAACGCTGAAGATATAAAGGACCTATGGGTGGGTATAATTTGAGAATCGTTGTCTTGCGATCTATTTCAAAGGCATGGTACTCAGACATGACTTCCTGAATCGGCCTGTATTTTTTGCTGTCCAGTAGAGCAAAGGTAGTCTTGAAAAACCTATAGAGTCTTATCCGGAACGCTGAGGTTATAAAGGAGCTATGGGTGGGTATAATTTGGGAATCGCTGTCTATGCGAGCCATTTCATAGCCATATATTCGGACAGTGACGCTCAGGCATGCTTTCTGGATCGGCCTGTTTTTTTTTTGCCGTCCAGTAGAGCAAAGGTAGTCTTGAAAAACCTATAGAGTCTTATCCGGAACGCTGAAGATATAAAGGAGCTATGGGTGGGTATAATTTGGGAGTCGCTGTCTATGCGAACCATTTTAAAGCCTTATATTCGGACAGTGACGCTCAGGCATGAATTCCTGGACTGGCCTGGATTTTTTGCTCTCCAGTAGATGAAGATATTCTTGGAAAACTCTAAAGTCTTATCCGGAACGCTGAGGTTATAAAGGAGCTATGAGTGGGTATAATTTGGGAATCGCTGACTATGCGAGCCATTTCAAAGCCTTTATTCGAACAGATGCTCACACGTGACTTCTTGAACTGGACTGGATTTTTTGCTCTCAAATAGAGCAAAGGTAGGCTTGAAAAACCTATAGAGTCTTATCCGAAACGCTGAAGTGATAAAGGAGCTATGGGTGGGTATAATTTGGGAATCGCTGTCTATGCGAGCCATTTCAAAGCCTTTATTCGAACAGATGCTCACACATGACTTCCTGAATCGGCATGTATTTTTTGCTGTCCAGTAGAGCAAAGGTAGTCTTGAAAAACCTATAGAGTCTTATCCGGAACGCTGAAGATATAAAGGAGCTATGGGTGGGTATAATTTGAGAATCGTTGTCTTGCGATCTATTTCAAAGGCATGGTACTCAGACATGACTTCCTGAATCGGCCTGTATTTTTTGCTGTCCAGTGGCCGTATTCATCAACGAACCCTGAGGGTTAAACTAACCCTGGAGGGTTAACATCAGGGTAGATTTAACCCTCAAGGTTCGTTTGGTATTCATCAAGCTGCTGAGGGTTAAACTAACCCTGGTGGTCAGCAGTGCATTCACTGACGCTTGTTTAGTGAAGGCGTCAGTTACGCGTGCGCTGTGCAAACTCACATCACAACTTGCTCTAACTACGTACTAATTCACTTTATACTTCCTATTCTTTCACTGTAATAGTAGTGTAATCAACGAATAAGCTCCTAATACTAGTTTTATAATACATCTCTAACATACTTGTGCAGCATCCAATCTTATAGCGTGAGTTTGTTTTCATGTGTGCAATTGTAGCGTGTAAGTTTGTTTCACTTTTGCGTAGTTGGTTTTACACAGAGCTTGTGCTACTCTTTTAGGGGTCAGCGCATGTTATTATAAAGAGGTTCTTTTGTTTTGACACTTGTCAGAGTGGGATGCGCAACCATTTTTCATCGCCGCATTCATTTCTCACCGAAGCTAGAATTTTTTTCTCGCGAAGTCAATGTTTCACTGTACTTCGAATTTGAGCATGAAACGAAGTCGAAACTAAATATGGACTACTAATTTGAAAAGTTTTGTAGCAACTAGGCATCATCCTTACTTCCATGCTTCATACTGTCTCATATCTATGCGTTGTATAAACATTTTTCGTCGACTCTTGTTGTTCTTAGACTGCTACGATGTTTTCGTTGATCGTTTTCCACTATTAGATGCGGTTATGTTCCTCTGACACAGGTCCCATTTCAATGCACGTAAATTGGAGTGTCTTAGGCGTAAAATAGGCATATGCCGCAATCACGGACCGAACACTTTAACGTACGTCTACTGAAATCGTAATTTCTGATTTCATTACATACTATTGATTTTTCGTCTTTTTCTGGCACTATCGCATCTCTGTAGGTATATTTGTAGTTTCTCGATCATCATTCAGTTAATTTTGATTTCGATTTCTCCTATTTTGCGTTAAGAATGGTGTTTCAATGCCTACATGCGTATCCTTCCCCTTTACGTCGTATGTTGTCATATCTTCCAACGACATGAACCATGTGGTGTATTGGGGATAATTAGCGCAGAATTTGGTTGATTTCAACTCAATTACAACTTCGTTTGCATCACCACGTTGTCTTCTTGTCATATGTTCTTTGGTTTGCTATTGCTTGCTTCCACAAGTTGGAGTTGCTTAAAGAATGTTTACCCCTTTTATGATTAGGTGCTGTTTGCATACTTTTGATGCTTTCTTTTCTCTGAGAGACTAGATGTTTTGGAAACTTCTTTTGTGCTTACAAAACAGTTCAAACTACTTTGATCAATAAGTTTTCAACTTTTGGAATCTCTTTTTTTGAGCTTTACGATTTGAACGTCTACTTTTATTTTCGACTTCGTCGTTTTCAAATTCGAAGTACATCCCAAGTTTCTTACCCAATTTAAGCTCCTATTTATTGCTCCTTCACGCAGCATTTTCGTCATTTCTTCAGTTTTTTGTAGGCGGGTGCTTGAGCTTATGTCGGGTGCGTTTCGAATGCGGCTAATCATAATCTTATTTCAATTTTGAGTTAGCAATCAAATAATGTTGCAGACAATGTCCCAAGCAAAGAAACCAAGAGTCTCTCGAAGTACCGCTTATACGGACGAGGAAAGCCAGAGATTAATCACCTTGTACATCGAAAACAGGGACAAGTATCACGAAAAGTTTAAATCGGGTAAGTGCATGCCCCTTTGACCGTATTACCCAAATGACAGTTGAATTCTAGGCAGTAAAAATGGCGACAGCATCCGTCAGAACTTGTTGACTGAGTGGAGCAAAGACATTTCAAGCCTTGGAGTTGCATTTCGCTCCAAGGAAAGTATCGAGGAGAAAATTAAGAATGAATCAAAGAAAGTTCAAAAGTTTCTTAGGGAAGAAGTAAGTGGTTGCCCCCGTTAATCGCTCATGTCGTATATAGATTTCGTAGAAGGAGAAATACACTGGTACCGGTGGCGGAGTCTACAATTTGCACAAGTTACCGGAGTATCTTCGACCACTGGTGGACTGTTTAGCCGAAAAACACCATGTAACTGGTGTGCCTGGCCTAGGTAATAGTTTTACGATGTTGTTCAGTCCTATTTGCATACAAATTTACTTAGATGGAGACTCAGACGACGATTTCGAGTGTACAGCTGCAAATTCAAGTGCATCGGAAGGCTTAGAAATGTAATGCAAACTCTACTATCTGATACGTCACTGTCGAACAGTATTTCAGGGACATGAGCGGAAGAGAAGATCTAACGGCCGAAGACCAACCTGACGCATCTGGGGAATGTACACAATCAACTATGACTAGCGAATCAGCTCCAGCGCTCTCAAAAAGTAGGAGTGTCGCAGCGTAAGTTTTCCAAAATTTGCATCTATTCGTTTTCCGCCGTAGTATCAGCTAGTAAGAATTTTTCAGTAAGGCTCGTGAAGCTTTAACCCTCTTCACTGATAAGAGGTCGCTTCTCTATGAGGAGGAGATAAAGCTCGCGCGGCTGAAACAGCGAAAAGTGCAGGTAGAGATACAGATAGCTGAATTGAAACTTGAAGAGGCCAAACTACAATTGAAGTCTGCGAATCAGGGGATTGCGCCACAGAGCCCAATTTCGTCAACTTATCCACAATATTTCAACCTTTAGAACTGCCTTAACACGGTGACGGCCGCGCCTTTCAAGCGAAACTTTCATAGAGCCTACCCATGAATCATACATATGAAGATTTTGTCGTCGCAACTACAATAAACAAACAAACCACAACTGTCATTGCATAGGAGTTACTGCAAAATCACCTTAGAACTTCTTGCTTATGCCTGAAAAATGGCCGATCGTCAACGTGCTAATTTATGTAACTTTCATGATGTCATTACCGGTGAAGTGAAGTACGTGTTCTGTCATACGAGTCTTGCAGTGATTGCTTGTTTTCTGATAATTTGGAGTACCTTTGTTGTCAACCGATTATGAAGTTTTTGATCGTCACTTTGTGTATACATAACACAATACACACATATCTTAATCCAGTTACATCCTACATGCTTTTTATGAATTAAGATTCGGAAATCACACACTTGTAAATTCGCTTCCTGACAATCCTAAGCCCGACCCACTATGTATGTTTACAATCATATATGGGTTGCATGCGGGGACACACACGTTACATACACCACATTCAAAATCGATATTTTCAAAGATGGAAATTTTTCGATAATTGTCCGTATTGTTCGCGTCATCTTTGAGCTCCGCCCACACTCATGCACACTATGTACATTGGTGCATACATACATAAGTTTTCCGGAGAAGAATTAAGACTTCAAGAGGAATTTACCAAAAATGAAAAATTATGACTTTGCTAGCATTTTTTGCATAGTAAACTAGAAAACTAGAAGATAATTAGTAGATAAGACAAGTTATACACGTTTGAGAGTACTCGCTGAGCTCTTTTCAATGGTATAGAACTTGTCTGGCCAGATTCTAGCTTACGTATCGAAATCTCTCTTATAAATCCAAAAATCATAAAATAAAACTTGATCAGGCTATTTTTTGCCTTGTTTGGCACTCTTCCAAAGATGTCACTGTAACGTCAGATAATTAGAGCGCTGCATACACTGAGGTTAGAATTTTGAAAAGTTATCTTGCAAGAACAAATGATTAGATAGCAATGGGATTAGCTCTCAAGCAACTTTCCAATTTTATCACATCGATTTTTGGAGAAGAACTGAACAAAAAGTGCAAGGATTCTGAAAGGACTTGCAAAGATTTGAGATTACGTAAAGTGACGACAATACAGTGAGTGGCATGCGATTTCAAATTCAGAGAAAATAATTACAGTAAATATTTTTGCGGTTTGAATTAGGACAAAGCCTTCTTGATAATTAAAAAGATATTTGATTTTGTGAGCTTTGACCGCACAGTGTGGTCGTAGCCTTACTCTTATTTATTCCATGGAAAAAGATCACATTAGCATTTCTGAATCGATGTAGTCATATCCTCGACTTTTTGGAACGATGGCAAGATGGAAGTAAGAAAGAGGGGAGCACGAAGGCTTGTGATCTTGATCTAGACAAAAATTGCTGCAGAATTTACAGAGCCAACCTTTTAGTTTGGTAGCCTAACTCAGAAAAATTCTGAGTATATTCGAGCATGCCTAGATGAGACATGCCCTCCAGCATTTATAATGATGTGAAAGCTATTCATATGGTATCCATTAGGCGCTCTGTCGTATTCCACCCAGGGGGAGGAGGAAGAGGGTGACAGACAGATTTTTGAATGATTTCATACTAGAAATATCCCACTCTTCAAAATTTTTGCAGGGAAACAGATACATTATTGCTACTCAAATCCCTTCGCTCCTATTTCCGTTGCCACAGCATGAAAAAAAATGGAATAAGAGAATAAAGATAATAGGGAACTCATCCGAAAGGAATTTCTTTGCTGTTTTGGTTTTTGAAAAATCCCGAGAATTGTTCCAATCACTCACAAGTATAGTCGCTTCAGCATACAAATATAGTTCAGCATGTTTACAACTCATGTAGGCAATTGGGGGCCCCAGCCCCTTCCCCGCTCTCCGCTCCTCCTCATACCATCACTCGTATCCATGTATAATGGACTTCGAAACTCAGATTATGGACCAAACCAATGTTTTCACAGATACAAAATGTCAAATATAGATTCTTCTTGAAATCATAAAAATCTTAGATAAACTGAGATTAGGGAGTGCTTTGTTTTGTACAATCGTTGTTTTGATGATGACATCATACATACATTTTGGCAGATTTATAGAGAAAGTGAGCGGGAACATACGGATTTGCATTCAAAAGAAATTGCCACGTACATTTTTTTTAAATTTGACCTTCCAGAAGCCAAGAATTGACCGTAGGCACTCGTTGAATGTTTTTTGTTTTCGGCGCTATGGAATTCTTCACGGGAATCCGAACCTCTTGCGAAATTACTGGCTCGCTTAGGTATCAACTGAATCTTACAAGTACCATATTAAATCATCCAAAAATTGCTGTCTTTATACCTCTTTTGATTCCCCTTAATTTTCCAACGTAAAATAGCCAGTAAAAACATTTTTTTATTCATCCATTTGCTAAAAAATTTTCACAGCTTTTGGGAGTTCTCGCAACGTCTTCATCATTTTCTCTTTTTTTCCCTCCACATAGTTCTCTGAATATTCCCAATGACAAAACCTCGTTGACAGTAATATTTTGATTATCCTTTACCGTAACTTTCCAAATATTATCTGCTATCACCATAACACTTTCATCGTAACCATGATTTTCTGAATCATCTGCATTTTGGTATGCGCTCTATGATTTATCCTGGCAGACAAGTTTTCATCAAAATTTTTTGTAATGAAAGACACAGAATGAAGTGGGACTCTGATTTTGCGAACTACACCAAATTTGATATATCAATGTGAATTGAAAATCGATACAACTTTAACTCTTTGTAATCTATCACCAGTCTAAATCTTATAGAATGTTGAACTATGATCAGTCAGAGTGGCTCTACTTCCCTGTGCCGCAGTTTCTAAGTTTAAGTTATTTTTTGTGTTATTCTCAAAATTTCTCAGTAAGATAAACTTACTCAAAAGTCAGCGAATTTTACAAAAATTTGCTCAAGGGAAACTAGAAGTGGTGACAAAATCGAAAGGATAATCTGATTTCTGACAATTTCTGAAAGAAGATATATTTTGATACTTCGCATTTGTGAGGTCATTCGACTACAAATCTTCCTAAACTCAGCGTTCTTCCGCAATCTTGTGCCACAAAATCTCTCCTCAAAAATGCTGATTTATTTGACCAAACAGTTTCAGACCCGTTCAGTTGTCTGAGATATTACTTATTGCTGCAAAGCGATTAAAGGAACTTTGCACAGCTTTTTTAGAAGGTTTTTTTTGGCTGAATAGAAACCTTGCAAAACCATTTAGATAACAGTTGTATCCTAAAATTGAAAATACTACTTCGATTTTTTTCCATTTCTTCGATCATTTTCCAGCAAAATTAATTATATGTGCGCAATTGGTAGAGATCATAAATCTTTGAAAAAAAAAGATCAAGGAGATGGAACTATGACCAAAGAAGTGAGAAAAATTCCTCATTTTTCAGATGAAACGATCATCACTTTGGTTACATCTTTGTGATTGGCTAGTTAAAAAGCCAAAAGGTAACTACTTAAGTGCGATCAAAAAGTCTGAAACGACACAACGAAGCTAAACACAATACTCAATACACTGCACGGAAATAATTGCGAGGGGAGCATCCCTTCATTGTTTTCGAGTTGGTCACTAATTTATTTGAAGGCACCGTCCACTTAAAATGGGGTCGATGAGATTTTGATGCCTAACAGTAGCGTAGCCCTTAGCTGTGTACTTGCCGAACTCGCGCTGCCAGAAGTTGCTTACAAAGCAAGGAAATACCCTCCAAAATCGCTTCGGATAACTGGTTCGCCACGTTGGCTCCTTACCTTCGAGTGGGCTTAACGTTCGTTTTGTCCATCCGTCACACTCAACCAATCACCGCTCCGGAGAACTCGCCCTCTGGGTTCTGCGAAACGGTGATTGCTAGGGTTTCCGCTGAAGGCTTCGGAACTACAAAATATGGAAGTAATTTGGGTGGATGATGTTCAACTTGGGGAACCAATTTCAGATAGTCAATGGAGGACGACGAAAGAGAAAGAGTTGAAGCTTTGATCAACTTGGCCGCTCCTAGGACATTTCGAGAAAGAGTAGATCCGCTGGAAATTCTAGACGACGATGCGTTCAGAGCTCGCTTTCGCCTTAGCCGCAGGGCCTTTTATAATCTGCTTTCGATGCTGCAAAACGATCTAGCTCCCTCAACCGCGAGGACGGCGGCGATTACAAGCGCTCATAAATTGGCTATCTTTCTTGAACACATTGGAAGTGCCAATCTGCAGGTAGGCGCATTTAGTAGACAATACGGCACAATCCGAGAAACATTTAGCGGATAACGGCGATCACTTTGGGTTGCTCGCAATCCACTGTTTCTCGCATCATCACACAAGTGTCAGACTTGCTGTATAGAAAAAGGAATGATTTCATAAAGTGGCCGAGTGAGGAGGAGCAGCAAGCCATGGAAAGAAGGTCGGTCAGTATGCGCACTATAATCGCAAAGAATTACGGTTTAGATTCTTTGCGCTGTGCGGAATTCCCCGTATCGTTGGGGCTCTCGATGGCTCCCATGTCAAAATCCAGGCTCCCACTGTATCTGAAGATAGTTACGTCAACAGGCAAGATGCAATTGACGACAGGTGCAGTTGGTTACTCAGACATTTAGGAAAGGTTATCACAGTATCAATATGGGTGCAATCTGCGACTTGGACCAGCGTTTCATATGGGTAAGCGCGAAATTTCCGGGAAGGGCGCACGATTCTAGGGTAAGTGAGAGGACTGTTCCTATTCCCTTTTCAAGGTGAATTTCAGGTATTCCGCAGCAGTGCCCTTTATAGGTCACTACGAACGGGAAGAAAAAGGGGGACGTTGCTTGCTGATAGTGCATACCGCTCCGAAAGGTTCATACTGAAGCCGATTCTGAGAAGTGACAGAACTCCGGCAGGTTCGCATCAGTCAATTCTCGGTCTTTAGTAAGTGACTGGATTTAGAGGCACGCTACACGGATGCAGTTTGCAGGGGCAGGGTTATCATTGAAAACGCATTTGGTTCTCTCAAAAGGCAGTTTTTGTCTCTACACACTGAACTGAGGTAAGCGAATACGATCCAGGCAGCGATAACAGTTTTCCTTTTAGACATGCACCCACTCGAGCCTCGAAAATCATAGTCTCTGCTTGTTGTTTGCGAAACTATTGTATCGAGACCCGAGAGCAGCCTTTTACCGCGAATGAAGCCATCCCGCAGCAATACCCTGAGGCCGGGGACGACGAGACGGACGTTCCGGATGCGGGCGAAGGTGCCAACATGCGCAGAGCCATCATAGAAACCTACTTTGCTTAGACGCTAACGTCATGTTCACCTAATCAGCACAGGTACAAGGTTAATTCTATTTCTTTTTTCATTCACTACATTCGCGACTGAAATTTTCCAGAGCAAAATGACAGCTATCCTACAAAAAAAGAATGCTCGATTATCTTCTTGATTTAGATAAACTTTTCGTACCTAACAGCTCATACACTATCTACCTATACTTTACTACCCATATACTATACAATATACTGCCCATACATGTTCATGTATCTCATTTCCTTGTATAAATTTTTTCGGTCCACTTTATTCTAGTTTTTCTACAAATAAAGTGTTTTAGTTTTCTCACTCGGTATTATCATTCAGCTGACTTGTTACAGTCATAAACATCTAGTTTCCAAATAAAATACATGTCCAACTAACTTTTAATATGACGAACCTCAAGCTCAATAATTCAGTCATCTTTCGTTGTTCAATAAAATTTAGGTGGGGCTTTCTCAACGAAATATTAGTCCACCAATATTAACGATTTCTTACATGAACATATTGTCGTGACTGAACCGACTACGCTTTGAATTGAACAATGAAGTACTAAAATAATTTTACCACAATTTTTATAATATGATTGGACGATACAAGAGAGAACTTAACAGACTTGGGATAATAATGAAATATGTGTTTGTTGGAATTAAGTAGTGCATCGAGAGATCACTTTATGACTTTTGTATAGAGTGTTAGGGTAGAGTTAACCCTGCTCTGAGCTAGGGTTAAATTAACCCTGATGAATCACGTAAGTTTAACCCTGCAGGGTTAGTTTAACCCTCACTATTCTTTGATGAATACGGGTTAGTCGCTTTCAGGGTTAAATTAACCCTGCAGGGTTAGTTTAACCCTCAGGGTTCGTTGATGAATACGGCCACAGTAGAGCAAAGGTAGTCTTGAAAAACCTATAGAGTCTTATCCGGAACGCTGAGGTTATAAAGGAGCTATGGGTGGGTATAATTTGGGAATCGCTGTCTATGCGAGCCATTTCATAGCCATATATTCGGACAGTGACGCTCAGGCATGCTTTCTGGATCGGCCAGTTTTTTTTTGCTGTCCAGTAGAGCAAAGGTAGTCTTGAAAAACCTATAGAGTCTTATACGGAACGCTGAGGTTATAAAGGAGCTATGGGTGGGTATAATTTGGGAATCGCTGTCTATGCGAGCCATTTCATAGCCATATATTCGGACAGTGACGCTCAGGCATGCTTTCTGGATCGGCCTGTTTTTTTTTGCTGTCCAGTAGAGCAAAGGTAGTCTTGAAAAACCTATAGAGTCTTATACGGAACGCTGAGGTTATAAAGGAGCTATGGGTGGGTATAATTTGGGAATCGCTGTCTATGCGAGCAATTTCATAGCCATATATTCGGACAGTGACGCTCAGGCATGCTTTCTGGATCGGCCTGTTTTTTTTTGCTGTCCAGTAGAGCAAAGGTAGTCTTGAAAAACCTATAGAGTCTTATCCGGAACGCTGAAGATATAAAGGAGCTATGGGTGGGTATAATTTGGGAATCGCTGTCTATGCGAACCATTTTAAAGCCTTATATTCGGACAGTGACGCTCAGGCATGAATTCCTGGACTGGCCTGGATTTTTTGCTCTCCAGTAGATGAAGATATTCTTGGAAAACTCTAAAGTCTTATCCGGAACGCTGAGGTTATAAAGGAGCTATGAGTGGGTATAATTTGGGAATCGCTGACTATGCGAGCCATTTCAAAGCCTTTATTCGAACAGATGCTCACACGTGACTTCTTGAACTGGACTGGATTTTTTGCTCTCAAATAGAGCAAAGGTAGGCTTGAAAAACCTATAGAGTCTTATCCGAAACGCTAAAGTGATAAAGGAGCTATGGGTGGGTATAATTTGGGAATCGCTGTCTATGCGAGCCATTTCAAAGCCTTTATTCGAACAGATGCTCACACATGACTTCCTGAATCGGCCTGTATTTTTTGCTGTCCAGTAGAGCAAAGGTAGTCTTGAAAAACCTATAGAGTCTTATCCGGAACGCTGAAGATATAAAGGACCTATGGGTGGGTATAATTTGAGAATCGTTGTCTTGCGATCTATTTCAAAGGCATGGTACTCAGACATGACTTCCTGAATCGGCCTGTATTTTTTGCTGTCCAGTAGAGCAAAGGTAGTCTTGAAAAACCTATAGAGTCTTATCCGGAACGCTGAGGTTATAAAGGAGCTATGGGTGGGTATAATTTGGGAATCGCTGTCTATGCGAGCCATTTCATAGCCATATATTCGGACAGTGACGCTCAGGCATGCTTTCTGGATCGGCCTGTTTTTTTTTGCTGTCCAGTAGAGCAAAGGTAGTCTTGAAAAACCTATAGAGTCTTATACGGAACGCTGAGGTTATAAAGGAGCTATGGGTGGGTATAATTTGGGAATCGCTGTCTATGCGAGCCATTTCATAGCCATATATTCGGACAGTGACGCTCAGGCATGCTTTCTGGATCGGCCTGTTTTTTTTTTGCCGTCCAGTAGAGCAAAGGTAGTCTTGAAAAACCTATAGAGTCTTATCCGGAACGCTGAAGATATAAAGGAGCTATGGGTGGGTATAATTTGGGAGTCGCTGTCTATGCGAACCATTTTAAAGCCTTATATTCGGACAGTGACGCTCAGGCATGAATTCCTGGACTGGCCTGGATTTTTTGCTCTCCAGTAGATGAAGATATTCTTGGAAAACTCTAAAGTCTTATCCGGAACGCTGAGGTTATAAAGGAGCTATGAGTGGGTATAATTTGGGAATCGCTGACTATGCGAGCCATTTCAAAGCCTTTATTCGAACAGATGCTCACACGTGACTTCTTGAACTGGACTGGATTTTTTGCTCTCAAATAGAGCAAAGGTAGGCTTGAAAAACCTATAGAGTCTTATCCGAAACGCTGAAGTGATAAAGGAGCTATGGGTGGGTATAATTTGGGAATCGCTGTCTATGCGAGCCATTTCAAAGCCTTTATTCGAACAGATGCTCACACATGACTTCCTGAATCGGCATGTATTTTTTGCTGTCCAGTAGAGCAAAGGTAGTCTTGAAAAACCTATAGAGTCTTATCCGGAACGCTGAAGATATAAAGGAGCTATGGGTGGGTATAATTTGAGAATCGTTGTCTTGCGATCTATTTCAAAGGCATGGTACTCAGACATGACTTCCTGAATCGGCCTGTATTTTTTGCTGTCCAGTAGAGCAAAGGTAGTCTTGAAAAACCTATAGAGTCTTATCCGGAACGCTGAGGTTATAAAGGAGCTATGGGTGGGTATAATTTGGGAATCGCTGTCTATGCGAGCCATTTCATAGCCATATATTCGGACAGTGACGCTCAGGCATGCTTTCTGGATCGGCCAGTTTTTTTTGCTGTCCAGTAGAGCAAAGGTAGTCTTGAAAAACCTATAGAGTCTTATACGGAACGCTGAGGTTATAAAGGAGCTATGGGTGGGTATAATTTGGGAATCGCTGTCTATGCGAGCCATTTCAAAGCCTTTATTCGAACAGATGCTCACACATGACTTCCTGAGTCGGCCTGTATTTTTTGCTGTCCAGTAGAGCAAAGGTAGTCTTGAAAAACCTATAGAGTCTTATCCGGAACGCTGAAGATATAAAGGAGCTATGGGTGGGTATAATTTGGGAATCGCTGTCTATGCGAACCATTTTAAAGCCTTATATTCGGACAGTGACGCTCAGGCATGAATTCCTGGACTGGCCTGGATTTTTTGCTCTCCAGTAGATGAAGATATTCTTGGAAAACTCTAAAGTCTTATCCGGAACGCTGAGGTTATAAAGGAGCTATGGGTGGGTATAATTTGGGAATCGCTGTCTATGCGAGCCATTTCATAGCCATATATTCGGACAGTGACGCTCAGGCATGCTTTCTGGATCGGCCAGTTTTTTTTTGCTGTCCAGTAGAGCAAAGGTAGTCTTGAAAAACCTATAGAGTCTTATCCGGAACGCTGAGGTTATAAAGGAGTATGGGTGGGTATAATTTGGGAATCGCTGTCTATGCGAGCCATTTCATAGCCATATATTCGGACAGTGACGCTCAGGCATGCTTTCTGGATCGGCCTGTTTTTTTTTGCTGTCCAGTAGAGCAAAGGTAGTCTTGAAAAACCTATAGAGTCTTATACGGAACGCTGAGGTTATAAAGGAGCTATGGGTGGGTATAATTTGGGAATCGCTGTCTATGCGAGCCATTTCATAGCCATATATTCGGACAGTGACGCTCAGGCATGCTTTCTGGATCTGCCTGTTTTTTTTTGCCGTCCAGTAGAGCAAAGGTAGTCTTGAAAAACCTATAGAGTCTTATCCGGAACGCTGAAGATATAAAGGAGCTATGGGTGGGTATAATTTGGGAATCGCTGTCTATGCGAACCATTTTAAAGCCTTATATTCGGACAGTGACGCTCAGGCATGAATTCCTGGACTGGCCTGGATTTTTTGCTCTCCAGTAGATGAAGATATTCTTGGAAAACTCTAAAGTCTTATCCGGAACGCTGAGGTTATAAAGGAGCTATGAGTGGGTATAATTTGGGAATCGCTGACTATGCGAGCCATTTCAAAGCCTTTATTCGAACAGATGCTCACACGTGACTTCTTGAACTGGACTGGATTTTTTGCTCTCAAATAGAGCAAACGTAGGCTTGAAAAACCTATAGAGTCTTATCCGAAACGCTGAAGATATAAAGGACCTATGGGTGGGTATAATTTGAGAATCGTTGTCTTGCGATCTATTTCAAAGGCATGGTACTCAGACATGACTTCCTGAATCGGCCTGTATTTTTTGCTGTCCAGTAGAGCAAAGGTAGTCTTGAAAAACCTATAGAGTCTTATCCGGAACGCTGAGGTTATAAAGGAGCTATGGGTGGGTATAATTTGGGAATCGCTGTCTATGCGAGCCATTTCATAGCCATATATTCGGACAGTGACGCTCAGGCATGCTTTCTGGATCGGCCAGTTTTTTTTTGCTGTCCAGTAGAGCAAAGGTAGTCTTGAAAAACCTATAGAGTCTTATACGGAACGCTGAGGTTATAAAGGAGCTATGGGTGGGTATAATTTGGGAATCGCTGTCTATGCGAGCCATTTCAAAGCCTTTATTCGAACAGATGCTCACACATGACTTCCTGAGTCGGCC